CGTAACTTAATGGACGGCCCAACCCTACTCAACCACGCATGGATCGGATGGGGACATGCCTGGGAAGGTCCGGGCATCCTCCAGTTGGGTAGTTGATGAGCCGCTTTGATCGAATCACCAGCAGAACAGCAGCACCTTCAACTTTCGGCTTTCATGGTGGCCAACGAAAATGGTTTTCCGGACTGGCCCCGTGCGAGTTTCAAATGCACCCAGGGCTCCAGAGGTTGTTGTAGAGATTCTTGGAGTCACTCAAGTCCAAGGTCGGCGCGCCACCCAGGAACCTCGGCAGGGCAGCGATGGAAGGAAGCTTTTTTCGGTTGCTTAGCGGATCGTAGCGGTACGGATGGTGACGACACTTGTGGCAGTTGTGTTTCCCTATGGATCCGCATTCACCCTCCAAACAAAGAAGTGGACAATCCGATTCGCCTGGTTGTAGATGAGGATTCAGGGGTCGGCTGCCATTCCACTCAAACCAGGGAAGGATCCCAAAAATAGGGCTTGTGACAGGTTCCCTAGGGATCCAAGTAGCAGAAGCTGAAGCTGATTGGAGATTCTGTTTTGGCGCCAGGGTCCACTCGTACCGAACCTGAGAAGGTATACTTAGTATACTTGGATCCTTGAGGGGGGTGATACATGTGATACCTTCTTTTTGCAGACACCGCGAGGGAAACCGCAGACCTGTCAGACCGACCAGCCAGTCCACTTGCAAAAGCCCAGCTAACCTAACAGAACGCAGGTCGCTCTACCTACAAGCACATGCAAAGAAACTCATCTTGGAAGGTTGTGCCAAAGACGGCCATCCTGATGACATCGAAGAACTGTGATCCAAATGTCTTGCCAGTGTGGCATGCCCAGAACGTCTAGCAAAAGTATGGCGTTAAATATGGTCAAATGCCCAAGGTGAAGACATATAAAAACTACAGTATGCGTCAGGTCTTGTGTGCAGCTGTCTCGTTCGGGAGACAGAACCTGTGATAACAGGGTGAACGTCTCCGAGCTTTTGTTTTTGTGCACATGTTGGGCACTCAAAGCTCAACCACCGAAAAAATGCAGGCAAACATATATAATATATGTCAAGAGAGGCTACATCCCGCTGGGTAGACTCTTCCTTCCTATCATATAATATGTTCCCGCGAAAAAAATATATAGAAAAGAAGAAACACCACGGCCGGTGGCTGTTTCACATCTGACCCACGAAGATCCACGATCTTCCGGCACCTGATCATGCCCAACTTCTCATACTTCCGGCTCGACAACTCGATCTTCAAGTACAAGTTCGGCATCGTGGCCTCGTGCCCGTTGCGGTTCGTTTTCGTGCGCGTGAGAGACTCGGACTCCCCCATTTTGCGGTGTTGCTGCGTCGCAATGCGGGAGAAGTATGTACAGCCCACATACAGTAAGGACCGCTTTTTCAGAAAGAGGTGATGAGAAATGTGGTTGATGCTTCATGGTGGATGTTCAATCATCTGGCGCCGCCCCTCCCCCCAAAAGAAGAACTCTCCAGGTCCCCCCAAAATGGTTCAAACGCCCGTGCGCGCCCAAACACGCCCGAAAACGCGCCGCGCCTTCTCCAGGAGTGGGCTCTTGAAGACCCATCCCCCCGAGCCCGTCAGCTGTTCGGTCTCCCCCCAACAGGGATTGGAGCCCGTCATCGAAGGGCAGCGCTGGACCTTGCAGCCTTTGTCGATCAACTGCTTCGCCTCGAGAAGTGGATGATGGGAGCGAGTTATACACTCCAGAAAACTCACATGAACCCGGGTTGAATGGCACCCTGAAACACGGCTTTTCCTGTATTATGGTGGCTCAATGGCTAGGGTGATGTATGTGGATGGAGCAGATGGCGGGGGGGTCGTACGATGTGATACGCCTGCTGTATGGAGGGTAGTGGCGGTATGGGCCGGGCTAGGCATGAAGCGGATGCTGAGCAGCGTGCCATGACATGCTAAACAAGTCATGAAAACATTAAGAATCACATCGAGTTGCCACAACCCTCCTCAAATGTCAAATGCCACCACAGAAATCCAAACCCAACCCGCCTTTCCCTCATCGTCGATGTTCTTCAACCGGAAGGTGGCCTTAAGGCTGTGAGTATCACAAGTCTAGGCCAGAGGAGGCTACAATAATATTGACGGTTTAAGGAATTTGTTTCTTCGATGGTTCTTTTGGCAGGTCTCGGATGTGAAAACTTCACCAACCCACGGGACAAAAAGAATGACCCATGAACGCCGATGAAGATGTCATCCTTGGAGGCAAATCTTCTCTGCAAAAACCGGTGTGCTTACACCCTGGAAGAGGTCCAGATAGGGTCTGAAAACCCCGTCCGGCTACCAACTCTTTCCAAGAGGTGTTGCAGGATGAGCTCGGTCCAAGGTTATAAGTTATATATATATTATATTATCCATATGTATATATATATATATATCCATTAGGTTATAGTCGTCGATTTGGAGCTGCCACGTTCAGGTTCAACTTGGTAACTCATGACTCATGCCGTGACTAATCCTGAAAGCGCTTCCTCCCAGCCTTGGGTTCAGCTTCGCACACCAAGGCACATGGAGGTTCTTCTGGCCTAGGCCCGGAAGGCGGCCGGAGCGCGAAGCCAACCGCCCGTGAACAATGCAAATATATATATATAAAGGACATGGAGAAAGGACAGGGAAACGGGAAAGAGTAGGAAAGTCCGAAGGCGGAAAAAGAAAAGGACAAAGGACCATTACATATGCCAAGTCACTCCTCATCGAAGGGATACCAGAATTGCTCCCAAGCAGCGCAGGGCAGCCGCATAAAAAACACAAAGCCTTAGATGACAAAGGAAAGGGAAAGGAAACGACATGAAACGACCAATCACCGAGAAAGAACAACTCACATTTATGCATCTGGGGCACAGCTGCACAAAACATATGCAACCAGCTGCAGATACCGGAGCATCTTTGAGCCAATGTTGCTATCTACAGTCGAGACAATCAAGCTAGCTCAACTACTTTGCAAGCTGGGGAGAACCCTAATTATGGAAAGGTTGCCTTATAGATTCAACTCAGGACTTGGGACTCTCAGCTGTCCTTGCTCACTTGCAAGATGGTACTAGATGCTCTCTTTGCAGTCACGATGGAAAAAAAGAAAAACAACACGTCAATAGGCGCCGGTTGTAAAATGCAACAACCGCAACAGGAAAAGAGCAATGAACGGACGGAACCTCTGCGCTTTCCAGCAGCCCGTGTTTGAATGCAACATATGGTGCAGGCATGAATTTCAGGAGAAAGACCCTGCGTCTCCCATTGCTCGCCAAGATGAAACACGAAAAGCAAGTAGTTAAACTACGCCACTTCTCCTTTCTCTGAGCTTTACATGTCACCGAGGAAGAGTCCAAGCAACACGAAGCCGACTTGATTAAAGGCAAACAATTTGGATTAGAATCTCTTCATATTTCATGGGAATCTTTTTGATTTTTGATCAAGAGTCTACATTATCACCCACCCTCAATGTAGTGCATAGATGTGCATAGCATTCTCTCTTGGAAATCCAAGACCATGTTTAAAGCATTTGCTCTTTAGATTACCCGAGTCTACGAATGTCCTTTTGCTTCGGTGGCGCCTACCAACAGTCTTTGGGCTTCGGAGTCTCTTTCAGAAGACCCACGTGGTCGAGCCACCTGGCTGTCGCCACCTTGGTGTTCGAGTAGCCCCAGGCTGTTCACACGGCGCAAATCCCGGTCACGGCGCCCGTTTCGTCCGATTGGGGGACCACGAAACCGAAGAAAACCCATACTGCGACTCACTAACATGGAAGTGGCACACAAAGGAGCCACCCCGCGGGCGTCCTTCCAATTTTGCGCAACTCCACCACGCAAGCCACCACGCGGATCCACGTGCCTGGCTTCTCTCTGATGCCGTGAAGGAGGGGACGGCTCCGAAGTAGACCACTGCCTCGGCCCGAAGCTTCCCCGAGTGGGGCGAACGCGAAACGCACGGCATGGCGAACACGAAGCGCGAAGCGCGTGTGGGGCGCGTTGCTTTGGTGAGGAGAGGCCAGTTGAGGAGGCGAGACCAAGTGAGGACCTGGCCCATTTTAAGGAGTGGTCCCAAAGAAGCACCTTGCAACCTACCCAAGGTCCAGATCGCATGTAGGTCGAACATTCCCATTCCATCTGTCTAATTGATTTTGAGTTACACAATTAAGTCAGTAGCCAGCTAACCTAGTGGAAGCAATCGCAAGTCTTGAGCAAATCGATCGTGGCACCTCACAAAGGCAGTTGCTGCAGCCTAGCTGCACATAGAAGGCAGTTAGAATACTCTGCACACTTATCTCAGCATATCTAAGGCAATCAACATATTTTGGTAGTCACTAACAAAGATTGTCTCCTGTAGGAGAAGTTGGTAAATCACCCTGCTTCGATCCTACCTCCAATGCACTCCATGGGATCACTTTTATTAAAAGGGTATGTTGTGAATGCAACAACCGCAACAAACAAATCGGAGAATGAGCAGGCGAAAGGAGACTTCCATGCACTTTCCAGCGCTTGCTTTTGAAGGGAAAGTACGGCGAATGGAAGGCCCATTCAATCTTGCGGTTGAGAAAGAAGTCATAGTTCCAGTACCACGCGTGGTGAGTTCTGCAGTGCTCAGTACTCGCCTTGGCGTTCAACTGGAGCTCGGCCTCCACAATTCCGTTGGCATTTGCTGCCGCCTAGCAATGCAAAGAAGGCAATCAGCATAGTTTGCTGGTCACCGAAACGAAAAGGTTCCGTCAGTCCTCCAACCCTAGAGACGTTTGTAAATCCCGTGTCAAGCCTACCTCCACTACACTTCCTGCAATCACATTGAAAATGAACGAGCTCGAGGTATTCAAAACGTTGACAATACATGCAACGTGTTCGCAATGAATAGATATTAATAGATTGAACATTTGAAGGGTCCCAGCATCCCCTCCACCGACGACCGCGTACTCTCTTCACTCACGCTCCAACATGAACTGTGTGCGCGTGTTTTCCTTGGCGCCACGCCTTATACAACCATGTCAGCCTCCGTTGTTGGGTGGGAGCAGCACGCAAAGGATTCTTGCAGACCCTGGCCGGGGCGGCCGGAAACGAGCGACGACCGACGCCCAGAAGCGACGACGACCGACGCCTGCCAGAAGCTCCAGGCAGCATCCCGTTGCTCAGCTGCCTGGATCGAAGGCGGACGGAGTCCGGAAGGATGCGAAGTGGGGTGGTCTCCCCGCTTTGCGGCGACGCCTTCTTGTGAATTGCGACGGCAGCAAGGATGACACGTCTTTCCGCTCGCTCATCACTCTCCTGCAAGTCAGACATGAAGCAAACAAAAGCTTAAGTCGAATCAACACCAGCGGTGCCTCAAGGATCACACGGTATCCACGAGGTAGTGGAAGCTCCAAGCCGTCCACCATCCAACGCAGACTCAGCCACTCTGCCATGGCCACCACCAACAGTACAAGCGAGCGCCGTATGTCAACGCACCTCGTGCTAAGCCGACGCAGCTGCATGGTATGACGTACATTCGCCCTAAGTCAACTCATGCGTTTTTAGTCAACGCAGTTTTTGCAAAACACCATGGGCACACTACTTGAAGGACATCACTTCAATGAAGCTGAAAACTAGGAAATCGTGCGCACACTGCACGCACGTGCTCAAAAATCAATGTTTTCGACTTGCTTTGCGTGATCTTGCCTAGGCAAAACCCCATGGGCACACTATGAACAGCACCTTCGGATTCTGAATGTATATCCTGAGAAAGCGCCTACAAGCGGTGTACTTAAGTCAGCCCACGTCGCGTGAAGTCAACTCACTGCATGGGCACAAGGTTTCAGCGAGAAGTCAGCCCACTCGCGTGAAGTCGACTCATTTTTGTCAAAGCACAATGGGCACACTTGAAACATGAGCACGGTAGGAAAGTGATATGTTCAAGGAAAAGTGTGTGCACACTGCGTTATGGCTGGCATTTGACCAAATCTCAATGGCACAGCACCGTTCACACCAATGCGCAACTTAGAGAATAGGTTGCGCGCGCGCACACACACACACAAAACAGGCCTCTGCGCGAGCCCTGCGCGACCCCGCGCGAGGTTCGCGCGAGCACGACTCATACAGTCAGTCATCCTACAGCTTCCTACGGTCAACCAAATTCAGTAGGAGCAGCAGCAGCCAACCAGAAGCAGCAGCAGCAGCAGCAGCAGCAGTGGAGCATGGGCCCAAGGAGCTTTGCATCACAACTGTCACAAATCCTTGTCCCTTCACAGTCGAAGCTGCCCTCCCCCAAAGAACAAATTAATAAATACAAACAAATGACAATCAGGCACACCATGGGCACAACACAAAACATGTTGTGAACGGTCGATGGCGCACACGACCGGCCGAACGCGAGGGCTTTT